AGTAGGTAGGAGATGGGGGTGGGGCTTGAGGTGGGAGGAGGGGATAGGTGGGAGGAAGGACAGGATAGGGAGGCGGGGACGAGCTGGGCTGGTTTTGGGATGCAGTAGGGGAGGGGAGATTTTGAAGCTTGTGAAGTCCACATTGATACCATTGGGCTGCAGGGTTCCCAAGCAGAATATGAGTTGCTGTTCCTGCAACCTTCGGGTAGCATCGTTGTGACATTGCAGGAGGCCCAGGATGGACATGTCGTCTGAGGAATGGGAAGGGGAGTTGAAATGGTTTGCGACTGGGAGGTTCAGTTGTTGAGTGCGAACCGAGCGTAGGTGTTCTTGCAAAGCGGTCCCCAGGCCTCTGCTTGGTTTCCCCGATGTAGAGGAGGCCACAACGGGAACAGCGGATGCAGTATACCACATTAGCATATGTGCAGGTGAACATCTGCTTGATGTGGAAAGTCTTCTTGGGACCTGGGATGGGGGTGAGGGGGAAGGTGTAGGGGCAGGTGTAGCACTTCCTGCGGTTGCAGGGAAAAGTACCAGGTGTGGTGGGGCTGGAGGGGAGTGTGGAGCGGACAAGGGAGTCACGGAGAGATTTGTCGCTCCGGAAAGCAGCTAAGGGTGGGGAGGGAAAAATGTCTTTGGTGGTGGGGTCGGATTGCAGATGGCGGAAGTGTCGGAGGATGATGCGTTGGATCTGGAGGTTGGTGGAGTGGTACGTGAGAACGAGGGGGACTCTGTTTTGGTTGTTATTGCGGGGAAGGGGTGTGAGGGATGAGTTGCAGGAAATGCAGGAGACATGGTCAAGGGCATTCTCGACCACTGAGGGGGGGGATTTTGCGGTCTTTGAAAAACGAGGACATCTGAGATGTACGGGAGTGGAATGCCTCATCCTGGGAGCAGATGCGGCGGAGGCGAAGGAATTGGGAATAGGAGATGGCATTTTTGCAGGAAGATGGATGGGAGGAGGTGTATTCTAGGTAGCTGTGGGAGTTGGTGGGCTTGAAATGGACATCGGTTTCTGGGTGGTTGCCAGAGATGCAGCTTTGCAGAACACCTACGCTCGGTTCACACTAAACAACTGCACCTCCCAGTCGCAAACCATTTCAACTCCCCCTCCCATTCCTCAGACGACATGTCCATCCTGGGCCTCCTGCAGTGCCACAATGATGCCACCCGAAGGTTGCAGGAACAGCAACTCATATTCTGCTTGGGAAGTCTGCAGCCCAATGGTATCAATGTGGACTTCACAAGCTTCAAAATCTCCCCTCCCCCTACTGCATCCCAAAACCAGCCCAGCTCGTCCCCGCCTCCCTATCCTGTCCTTCCTCCCACCTATCCCCTCCTCCCAACTCAAGCCCCACCCCCATCTCCTACCTACTAACCTCATCCCGCCCCCTTGACCTGTCCATCCTCCCTGGACTGACCTATCTCCTCCCTACCTCCCCACCTACACTCACCTTTACTGGCTCCATCCCCTCCTCTTTGACCTGTCTGTCTCCTCTCCACCTATCTTCTCCTCTATCCATCTTCTATCTGCCTCCCCCTCTCTCCCTATTTATTTCAGAACCCCCTTCCCCTCCCCCATTTCTGAAGAAGGGTCTAGGCCTGAAACATCAGCCTTTCTGCTCCTCTGATGCTGCTTGGCCTGCTGTGTTCATCCAGATCTACACCTTGTTATCTCAGAACCTCTGACACACCTGTTTATATCTGTCAGCCAGAGCTCCCTGATTGGACCAGATTAACAACCCCAATCAGGGAACTCATATTCTATAAGGTCCACCTGGTTGACCTTATTATAACCATAACAATCATTGTTTCACCTGAAAGGACATCTACTGGCCATGGACTGTCAGGCGAGAGGAGGTTTAAAGGCAAGTGTTGCATCTCCTGCACTTGCATGGATATGTGCCATAGAAAGGGGAGGGGGGATATTGAGGTATTTAAAGAATAACCACGAGGAATGGACCATTCAGAATGTTGAAAAGGAAGTGGCATTGCACTGGAAGTGCCACAAATTATGGAAGAGTTCTGATGCAAGGTAATCAAATTGAAATATTCTCTCTCCACTTATGCTACCTGATTGCTGAGTAGTTCTAGCACTTTTTTTTATTGTCACTGCTTTATTGTTCTTTTGAAAAGAACAGATGTTGTTGCTGTTGTCACAAAAACAGAAATTGCTCAAGAAACTCAACAGGCCTGCCAGCTTGTGTGGAGAGAAAATATTTCAGGTCCAATGACCCTATTCAGAACTGTTGAATTAAAATAACCCATTTAATTTGTGGAAGATGGTGGCATGGGGTAATGTCGGTGGTAAGACAGTGGTAAAAAGCTGTACATAATTTGAACAATTCTTCCTTGTGTTTATGTATCTTCATGCTATAAGAAATTTTGTGGTAATAATCATTTTCCTTAATTATTCCACTATTTTTAAAGTATACAGAATACCACTAATGTACAGGGCTGCATATAATCATATGCACTAGTTTTACTACACTCCATGAAGTCAAACAGTTCTGAACAATTAGACTCCTGTTCCTACTGTTAAATATAAAACAGCCAACCAAATTTCATGCTTTCAAGAAATTCATAAGGAAAAACAGCTAGAAAAATATATAACGTAAATACTGTTTTGAGGGTGCAGTTGAAACATTCAGTAAAATGCTAGTGTAGTATGCACTAAACTGGCCAGATAATACAGATTCCAGTAACAATATTTAAAGAAGTCAGTAGATCCAAGGTTTGGAAAAACATGTTAAGCAAACCATTGCCTCTCATTTTGATTAAAATTAACATAATAAGCAACAAAATAACTGTCTGTTTCAGGTTCGTGATTCTTGTGCTACAGCCTTGGGATACCTAAGTTTTAATCGAACTGGCCATCGTCGCCTGCTCAAGGAGTGCAGGGATCAGCCAGAACTGTATGACCTTTTAATAGCTAACATATGCAAAGATGGCAAAATCAGTAAAGAATTTACAGATGAATTCCATGTGCAAAAACTACTTGGCCTGCCTTTAGAGAGGTATGAAAACATAGACTGAAGAAAAAGTATTACAAATTCTGCAAATGCCCTTTAATATATTTTAACCAACATCAGTGATCTTGAAATGAACTATTTTTGTTTGTTTTTAAACCAGACTAGAATTAAGCGAAGGCCATCTGACGATGGTTCAACCAGAGCAGAAAGGTAAATAAATAGAACCTATGAATTCAACAGTGATTTTAATAAGATAATTCACATATCTATTGAAATGCTAGGAAACAAATTCATAATCACACATTAGTTATAGCACAAAAGGAGATCATTCAGCCTGTCATCTCTGTGCTGTCTCTGATGGAGAAATTTATCCAGTTCTATTCCACTTCCTCCTCCTCGTAGCCTTCCATTCTTTCTTTTTAGCTTGTAATCCAATTCCATCTTGAATATCTCAATTGAACTTGTCTCTACTACATTCTCAGGCAGTGCATTCCAGATGCTAACTAATTACTGCTTAAAGATGTTTTGCTTGTATCATCATTGCTTCTTTTGCTGATACATTATATCTGCATCTTCTGATTCTCGATTCTTCTCACAAATGTTTTTCCGCTATCCAGACGCATCATGATTTTGAATATTTCTGTCAAGTTTCATCTCAACCTTTTCTTCCCTGAACAATAGAGTCCCAACTTCACCAGTTTATGTGAATTTCCTCATCCTTGGAACCTTCTCTTCAATATTTCTGAACCTACCCTTGTATCCTTCTTAAAATATACCTAAAACTGGACACAAAACTCCAATTGAGCGCTCACCTGCATTTTGTATAAGTTTAACACAATTTCCTTGTTTTTGTACTTCATGTCCTATTAATAAATTCTTCTTCATTTTAATTTTTGTATCTTTTGTCATTCAGGGAACTCTGGATTTGTTTCCATATCCTTCATAGGAATAAGCCTTGACCATGCCTAATTTATTACTTGTTTAAAGATAGCCCGTTGTTCAGTTACGGTGTTGCCTGCCAAACTCTGATTCCAATTCTTACCCCAATGAAATTGGCTTACATTGGATTATTCCCTGTCCTTTTCCATAGCTAGCTCTAACCTTCTGATACTGGGAAATTTATAAATTATGTAAGCATAGTTGTGATGAAATGTTAACACAAATTTGCATCTGGATTTTTCGGTGGATTTAATTTTTCATAGCACAATTCAAAGAAGAACAAAAAGTTTTCTTGATACCCAAGCCAACCTTTCACATTTCAACATATAATTAAAAACAAAATTGCTGATTATTTTTCTTACTTCTAATACTAGAATAATTACTGTCTTTGCCGCGATAATACTAAGCATTTTTTAATATAACATACCATATAATTGCAAGTTTGTCATTAAAATATTAAATGATTTAATTAATTTAAACTCTTCGTTTAATCATAGTGAGATTAAAAACAGCAAGTTCTCCGAAGGAACAGAAGAAAACGATGACTTCACGATTAAAATCTGCTCCCAGATAAAAATGCCTGGGATTGCTGAACCTCAGAACAAGATATAATTTGCTGGTCCTACAACAAAACAAGCCTTCAAAATGGAATGACAGGAAAAGCATTCAAATGTACCTATCATGCAATTTATTCTTGCTTTAGGATCCAAACAGAATGTCAAACTTGTTTCAGTTTACTCAGCAGCAAAGTCCACGAGAAGCTTTCAGCATATTTTCATTTTAAAATCGAAAATGATGTTGGGCAAATGATAGCATATTGTTATGTGTTTTCTTACAATATGTTACAATCTTCCTTTGCCAATTAAAGTACTAAACCACAAACTTTTCTATTACGTTTCTTTGGTGATTGATAGTGCCTGGGATGCTCAAGTAACAGAGTATATCAGAGTCTCAACACTGTGGCCACAACTTTTAGCTGTGTAGCTGCCTCTGGTTCAGTAATGGAGCCATACTTATAGTTCCTCTTGGGCTACATCAAAACTTGAAATTGGAACTGCAAGGGTAAGCTAAGCACAAAGGGAGGAAGAGATAGATCCTAGTTGATGGCCCTACATCAAGGGCCTTCAGGGACTACTTCTTCTGCCTTTGCCTCAGTAAGGATTGATGTCTGAAGCAGCCATGTTTCACCATGAAGGTGGCAGATGAACTTCGCCACATCATACAATGCAATCATAAAACAGGATGAGGATTAAGGGAGTGATTTCTAAATTTCTATGCCAGAAGATCTTTCGAGAAAGGAGAAGGTGACATTAACAACATTTCACTGTCTACTGCCAATCAACTCACCAAGTAGGTTGCAGAGGCCCTGTAGAGTAAAGGGAAGTCATCTTCTCCCTTACTAAAGCAAGAGGAGCCATTGCATGACTTTGACAGGTTAATAGGATACCAGTTCATGCAGCGTGCAATCTATTACACACATGTGGCCCAATGGGATCCAAATGCCAATGAAGAGGTGCAACACAACCACAACGGTTACCAGTCTTTAAAGATGCTGTTGGCCTGTAGCTATGTTGGAAGATTCTGTAGGTGATTGCCCACTATCCTATCCATAGCAACAATGCATTCATTCTCCAGTAGTTGGATGTACTACCAGCCATTTCTGGCTCACCAAAGTTTTGCTCAGTATAGGGTTACCAGCTCTACACCTGGCTCATGAATCTCCTGCAAGGCACTTTAGTCCACTCCACAAACGCCTCTAAGATCCTATACTTTCCATTGTAGGCACAAGGCATGCAATACCTGTCCTTTCGCCTGCTCTCTTCTATAGTATTCCAGTAAAGCTCAACATAAGCTTGAGGAACAGCACCTTACTTTTGAACTGGCTATTCAATCTTCTGCACTCAGCATCAAGTTCAACAATTTTAGATCATGACCTTTACCTTAATCTCTTATACAGTATTTTTTTTTCCTCGTTTATTTTTGTTGAGTTTGTCTTGTCTTGTTTCTTTCTATCCCTTGAATTCTGATATCTGCTGAACAGCCATTTATGCCACATTTGGACATAGACTTTGTTTCATCACCACTCTCTTTAGCAATTGAACCAAGAATTTTTGCATTATTTACTTTATTCTTCCCTCCATTTATCTTGTTCTTACCGCTCCTTCCACCTTCTACTGCCTTAAAAACTCTTACATTTCTAATTTTTCTTCAGTGCTGATGAAGCATCAGCTCAACCTGAAATGTTAACTCTGTTTGTCTCCATAGATGCTGTCTGAACTTCTGAATATTTTCAGCTTTCTTGATTTCATATTTTCAGCATCTATTGTAATTTAATTTTGCAACTCACTCATGCCCAGTAACTATGCACATGCTGAACCTAACTCTTGGCACTCAGCTCCAGTAAATGCAGCAGAACCAACCACTACCAGCTAAGTGTGGAGTAGATTGCTGCCATCAATCCTCCTTTATACTCTTTTAAAAGAAAATTAATGGTTTGGACCGTCTTTGGCGGGGCACTGTGACAAAAAAAGTCAAAAGATCAATGGGAACTTACAAGTGAAACCTACTATAATCAAATCAAGTTGTCATTAAAAAAAAAATTACCGGGGTGATGATACATCCCAGACTGGGATTCCCTTTTTATACTGGATCCAAGAGTCTGTTTGGTTAACATTTGTAGAGGAAGAACCACGAGTGGCCCCTAATAAGAAAAATAATTTCTTAACAAGATGTAGTTTATTCTGTGATACCACTAGGCACAAGTTACACAGTCTAAGTTATGAGGTCTAACTAGCCAATCAGAAGACACTGATGACACATCTGGCTCCATTGAAATCTCCAGCCAAAATCCTCTTGTCCATCATCTATATGAAGGCTGTATGAAATCATCAGATTGATGGGAAGTTCAATGCAATCTCAAACATGAACTCTTTCAGAGCCATTACCTTATGCAACACCAGTATCTGAGTTGGTGACTGCAAGTGTCAGTTAAGTGACAGTGCTTCTCAGTAAAGGTTAGGCATTGCTCTTGAGCTTCACGTTGTCAAATAAGTGAATGTGATTGAGAAACAAAAATTGCACAGCGAGTTGTTAAGATCTGGAATGCACTGCTTGGATTTGTGGTTGAGGCAAGTTCAATTGATGCATTCAAGCGGGCATTAGACGATTATTTAAATAAAAGCTAGATTTAGGGTGATAGGGAAATGACAGGTAAATGACAGTGGGTGATAATTCCTTTTCGGAGAAGTAGTGCAGAGCTGATGGGCAGAATTGCTTCCTCTATACTGTAACAATTCTATGATTCTGAAAGTTGGTCAGGTTGTGGGTTTGGAAGATGCTGTCGAATAAATTTTGGCAAGGTTCTGCAGTGCATTTTGGATATGGTACGCACTGCTGCCACTGTACACTGGTAGCTGGGGAAATGAATGTCTAAGGTGACAGATGCCATGCCAATTAATCATATGCTTTCTCCTGGATGGTGTCAAACTGCTTGAGTTCTGTTGGAGCTGCACTCATTTCTACAAGTGGAAAGTATTCCATTACATACCCAATTTGTGCTGTGTATATGTTGAATAGATTATTGGATGTTTGGAAGTGAGTTACTCATGACGGAATTCCCAGTCTCTGATCTGCTCATGTAGACACAGTATTTACATGGCTGGCCCTGTTAGGTTTTTGATCAATGGTAACCCCAAGAATATGTTCAAGGATTCAGTAATAGATATAATCATTTAATGTCAAGAGGAATTAGTTATATTCTCTAGTTGGTGGCTGTCTTGCATTTATGTGGAACAAATATTGCTTTCACACTTATCAGCCCAGGGCTTGAAAGTTGGTACTAATCTTATGTTGTTGGGAAAATCATTAATAAGGCAACTGACGTGGTTGAACTGAGGATGTCCTAGGGCTAAGATGATTGACTTCCATAAATTAGGGCTACCAACACTTCTAGAAAGATTGGGTGTTTACCAGTTTTGCAAACTCCAGCTCAATGTATTCTGCTGGTGGCTACGGAAGGCAATTGGAAGGTTTCAATACAATAATTCTGTGATTCCATTTAGTTTCTGGCAACCCACAGTCCACTTGAACTAAACTGTGATGATTGTATTTGCAAGTAGCACATATGTAAGTACAGTGACACAATAATGTAGGTTGTTATCAGAGTCCCAGAGGACACTGGGGCTGTTTTATTCACTAGTGAGAGATGACTGGTGGCGAGTTTAACCTGAGGGCCAGTACACCACCGGTAAGGGGTGATGTTGAGAAAGTAGGACCTTCATGATAACCCCAGTCAGCGCAAAAAATTGAACCCATGATGTTGGCATCACTCTGCATTACAAACCAGGCACCCAGCTAACTGAGCTAACAGACCCCTGTGACATAAAACAAAATTGACATTACAGCATTCACATAGTGTGCTCACAAATGATGCAGCTGCCACTGCCTGCTTTTAGCTAGGTGCAAACTGGTGCTGAGCATTGATCTCTGGAGAC